CTTCTTCATGTCTTTACAGTCTGAGTAGGACTGGAGCTCGTCCGCTTTTTTGCTCCACCATGAGTCGCACATAGCTCTGAGTCTGGCCTGCAGTGTCTTACGGATGCTCTGGAAGGCTGCTTTCTTCGATGCGGATTTTTCATCATTGATCATGGATAGGTGTAAGCGGTGTTTCTCTTCAAGAAGTTTCTTGATCTCCTCGTCATTTTCATCAAACCAGTCTTGGTGTTTCCGAACAACAGGGCCCAAAGTTTCGAAAGCTGCTGTGTGGACTGCATCTTTGAAGCATTTCCAGTCCTTTTCAATGTCGCCTGAGACCAAGTCAGCAGAGATGAATTGCTGGTACATTGCGCTGCACAGTTCACATTTTACAGCGGCGGTCTTTAATTTGGTAACGTTGAGCTTCTTTGGTGGCTTCTTGCCCTGAGGTCTCCTGAGTGGTTTGATGTTGAAGTTGAACTTCGCACGGATGAGTCGATGGTTAGTCGAGCAGTCAGCTCCTCTCATAGCCTTGGTGATTTTCACATCTGCAATGTCCCTCTTCCTGATTATAATATAATCAATCAGGTGCCAATGTTTTGAACGGGGATGCATCCATGACGTTTTGTTTTTATTTGGAAGTCGAAACAAAGTGTTGCTGATGGTGAGGTTGTGTTCTGCACATTTTGTGAGGAGAAGGAGACCATTTGAATTGCATGTTCCAATACCGTGGTTCCCTATTATGCCCTGCCATGTATGATGGTCAGAGCCAACACGAGCATTGAAGTCGCCGAGAATTATGAGTTTGTCCTTCGTGGGAACCTGGGAGATTACTTGTTCCAGATCATCATAAAACTTGTCTTTGACATCATCCGGGTTTGTCATGGTAGGTGCATACACGCTGACTATGGTGGCATGTTGTTTCGCTGTGAGTAACAGACGCAAAGTCATTAAGCGGTCGTTGATACCCACTGGTAGATTTTCAAGATTATCTACGATGTGATTCTTCACGGCAAATCCAACACCAGCTTCATGACGTTCATTGCTGGGACGACCACTCCAGAAAAAGGTGTAACCAGCACCAAGTTCCTTGAGTTGACCTTTCTCAGCAAAACGAGTTTCACTAAGTGCTGCTATGTCAATGTTGTATTTGGCGAGCTCTCTGCCAACGAGTGCAGTTCTTCGTATAGACCGCTTGCAGACGCGCTCGATAATTGACGCGCGAAGGTGTGCGACGCCATGTTGTGGGACAAAATGTGCATGGATAGATATGCGCTTGTCCCACAACATGGCGTCGCGCGCCTTCGCGCGTCGATTATCGAACGCGTCTGCAAGCGGTCTATAGGTCTATTAGGGGCATCGCGGAGTAGCGTACTCGTAACGCACTCGACCGATGCGGGACCGATGCGCTGCGTATTTATAACTTATGACCTGCGTAACAGCGTACGCAGCGTAGTTTTGTGCATGCCCAAAACTATCCTGCGTATTGGGCCGTACCATGCGTACATCTGCGTACATAAAACCTACACAAAACGATAGAGATGCATATGAGGTGCGTATTGTGCGTACGACTGCGTATGAAAAAAATGTCAATGCGCAACTCATAAGGAATTAGGATACGCAGAAGTGTGACAGGGCCCTCATATGGCTTTGGCTTTAAGTGAGCAGTCTGCTGAATGGGAGGGGGGATGGCGATGATGCCGGGATGAGGGCGTGTGACGTAACGCCCCCCCCCCACCCGTAGAAGAAGCAAGTTCTGTACCTTTTTCTTAACATTTGTATTGTTTTGACAACTTTAAGCAAAGCTTGTATTAATTATTATTTCTTTCTTCTATTTTGTTGATCAAAACCAGTAGGGCAGTCTGTAATATATATTATTTATAAAAAAAGCAGTACTACACCGAGCCCAGGCCTAGGCCCTAGTACTAAAATTATGAACAATAATCAATGCTATGGAGCCTAACTATTATTTTCAAATATATTTCCTACACTTGGTTTTGATGTGGTTTTGTAGAAAAAACTACAACAAATGATTTAAAAGTTGTGTAGAGTCTGTTGGAATCGGCAAACCATGCAAATAAAAATGTATGCATGCTTTTTTAGACTGTGAGTGAAATGTATTCGCTTTAGTTTAAGTGTGATTATTTTTACATACCCCAAAAGGGCAGAACTGATATGATTAAATGCTGTCAAGTCAAATCTTGTTCAGTTTGTCATTATTTCAATCAAGGCATGTGGCAATCATGATTTCAAAAATTGTGATATTTGAACAGAAATCGAGCAGTATCAATGTGCACAAAACAAAAATCCAAATTTTAATGACAATTTCCTATTCAGACTATATACGGTCTCCAAAAAAACCCGCACCGTTGTATATTTTCTAATGCGGTTTAGGCCTAATAATAACGTTTTTTCACATGTTGAATATCATTTCGACTGAAAGAGGACAGCAGTGATATAGCCAGTGGCGGAGGGGGGGGGGGGGGGAGGGGGCTTGTGGGGCACGTGCCCGGCTCATTAACTTCCAGCGCCACCAGGTGTCCGCCCCCACAAAAAAAAGGATGTCTTAGGCCCCCCAAAAAAGTCTCCGGTTTCTGGTATGGAGCTTGCCCAAAAAGTGGTGCGGCGACGCGGCTTTTTTTTTTTTTTACCTGTTTTTTTTTGCTTCAAATGTCGGCTGATGACTGCAAATAGTGCCCTACTAAACTTAGTGCAAATATTATGGGAGACCAGAGAGGCCACATAAAGCTTATTCTCGATCATAACCCCATCTAAAAACACGTTAAAATTGTGCAGCAGCAGAATTCCAGTCAAACACGTGAGTTTGGCGGTTTTGAGACATCATCTTTCATTGAAAAAAAACTTTTTCATTTTGCCGACGCGTATGGCTACGGCCACGCGCGCGCATACCAGAAACCGGAGACTATTTTTTTTTGGCCTTATGGGTGTCCCTTATAAAATGCTGGTTCTCCCCGCCAGCCCCCCCCCCCCTCCCAATTCCCACTGGAAAATCCTTCCTATGCCGCTGGGGGATTCTATTTTTCATAATGCCTATAAATTTGGGGTTCGCCTTTTCTGGAATTGAATAAAATAATAATAACATACATGTGTATAATGGAGAACCTTTAAGGCCCTCTCCTTTCCCAGGCGCGGATCCAGAGGGGGAATTAGAGGTCACCCCCACCCACAGCTCTGTCTTGATTTTTCTACAATAGCAGTTCATAAAAAATAAATATTAAAACGAACCCCCCCCCCATAGCCAATTTTACTGGAAACAAAATAGGCCTAAACAAACTACCTGAAAATACAGCTGATCTCATGTCTTCCTCTCTTCAAGAAAGGCGTTAATTGGCACTAAACAAAGCAAAGGTGTCCATTCCAAACAATTCTTCAAACAAAAACAGCGCAAAGAATAAGACAAAGTAGGGGGCCTCACTAAGTAAGAGAGCGATTACAGCAACAGTACAGTAAACATGTTCAAGCCCCGACATAATCCTCGGGCGCGCATGAGTTCCCGTTACGCCCCGTGGACAAGGTTTTTCACAGGAAACAGCCGCGAGGCACTTTCTGACGAACTCGGCCGCACTCGGGTTTCCTTGGGCTTGAACTAGTAACAGGTTTCGTTTTTCCATTTCCTGCTACCCTTTTTTCGTTTTTGTTTTGGCAGAAAAAGGTTGTCTTAGTTTTTAGTTGTTTGTGTTTCAGTGAAATAAAATGAAACAAAAACGAGTGTGTTTCGTTTATTTACATAATGGTAACTGTATACAAAGGAAAACGATTGATGATTTTGTTTCATACCATTAAAAACGGAATGCGGTAACTCGATGCGTTGTCCCTTTTTCTAAACACAGACTCCAAAACGGTGTACGATAAAGGGCTTGTTTTTCCTTTTTTCTTTTTGAAATTCCAAAACGGTAACCGGTAAAGGGTTTGCTTTTTCTTTTTTCTTTTTAAAAATTCAAAAACAGTAACTGGAAAAGGGTTTGCTTTTTCTTTTTTCTTTTTAAAAATTCAAAACCAAAACAGGGTAAAGGGTTTGCTTTTGCTTTTTTTGTTCAAAAATTTCAAAACAAAAATTGGCAAAGGGGTTGCTTTTTCTTTATTCTTTTCAAAAATTCAAAAACAAAATTTGGTAAAGGGTTTGGTTTTTCATTTTTCTTATCAAAAATTCAAAAACAAAAATTGATAAAGGGTTTGGTTTTTCATTTTTGTTATCAAATATTCAAAACCAAAAATTGGAAAAGGGTATGCTTTTTCATTTTTCTGTTTACAGATTCAAAAATGGTAAAAGGCAAAAGAATTTCGTTTTTCTGATTTCGTTTTCCAGACGCATAACCGGTAACTGGTAAACGATTTGCTTTTTCTGTTCCTACACCAAGATTATAATAGGGTAAACGGTAAAGGGTTCGTTTTCCTTTTTTCTTTTGACGATTTTCAAACGGTAACTGATTGGACGGTATGTACACGGACCTGAGTGGCGCACCCGCTGTCACGTACCCGTTGGTCAAGGCATAGAGCTAAACAAAATCAAACAAAAACGTGTGTCCTTGAACGTGTTACTTTACTTTTACTTCATTTCATCCCAAGGCATAGAAAAAAGAAATGTGAACTCAAGGGCGGATCGGGGGGGGGGGGGCAACGGGGACCCATTTCCCAAAATAGGTGGCGCTCTTCAAAACCGGCCATTATGCAAACTACGAATAATGTGCGGTTATGTGCCCATTTTCAGGGCGCATTGTAAGGTTTTCAGGGCTTGGTTTTCATATTCCTCGTTCATATCAGAACTCTTTATAGGCATACCATTTTGGGAAATGGTTACGGATAACAAATTATCCAAACTTTTAGGGCCAGTTGTGTTTTCATCTCGAGGGGGCACATTAATGCTCGAGGGGACACATTTATGTCCGCAAAAGGGGCACTTGGGTAAATATGGGGAGGGGGAAGTGCCCCCTCCAGCCGCCAAGGCTCAACAATTCCCCGCCATATTCATCCCAAAGTAATACAAATCGAAGACGTCTACAAAAAAGGAAAACAACAAACTTTATTATTTCAGAATTCCAGTAATATAGTTTTTCCCGGTTATCTTAACATCTGTATCACACGAATTCCCGATCTCGATACTTTCATTTCGTCCACGAACATTGCAAAGCTCACTTCTCAATTTGAATTTCAAAAAACCAGCACTAGATTTCATTTAACGTTCAGTATAAATCAAATTTTTAGCATGCCGATTCGTCCAAAATCGCTGTCGCTGTCATTACATGTCGTTTCTAGTGACTTAAACGTTACGATTAGAAACTGTGTCCTATCTTTGCATTTATTCGAAATGTGCGCATTACTACAATTATAGTTTCAACATATATTTCCTTATATGAGTAAATAAAAGTAGTCAAGCTATAAATGTAAAATCTCTTTTACTGTGTTTCACAATTAACATAACGATTAAAAAATGTGTCCAATCTTTGGACTTATTGGAAGAAGTGTGCGCATTACTAAAATTGTGATTTCAACATAGATTTCCTTATATGTAAATAAAAGTAGCCAAGCTTCTGTTTTAGAATCTTCTTTTCTGTGTTTCACAATTAACATTAGAATCAGGAATAGATCTGTCATATTAATGCTCTTTACTCATGGCATGAAAATTAAGCATTAAGATCAAACAACTTCGTTGTTGCTCTTTGATATATACAAACCTAACTTCTGTGGTTTTATTCATTATATATTTATATAGAGACAAAGGACAATTTTATGTTCATTTTTTATCAGTATTTGCATTGTTACACGACACTTAGAAACGTAAACTTAAACGATATCTTCATAATGCCATTTTTCAGCCTTCAATCTCCTCTCTGGCCATGCATCTTGGTTTGGGAGTGATTGTACCATCTTTGGCACTTGTTGGGTGTTATCTCATCCACATTATGTTGAGCAGCTTCCACCAGTAGGCGTATATACCCTCCATCCCTGTATGGTCAAGCCTTCTCTCGCAGCAGCCTGGGGGTCAGATATCCTTATTTGCCATTCGGTAAGTCGTAAGAGTCTTTTTACCCAAGCTTTGAAGCAGGAGTGTGCATTTTCAACAGGATTGAGAAAAGGGGAGTATGGGGGGAAGCCGCGTCAGTTCAATGTTCTCATTCCCTGGTGCAGGGTGGCAGTTCAGCAAGAACATGAGGCCTTGCGTTGTCGTAGATGAAGTACAAGTGCTCTTCTTGGGGAAACATTTCCTGGCAGGCTTCAACTTTTTCCTGCAGAAATTTTTCAATTGACGCACGTGTTGTGGTGTGCAGGTTTATGGCATGATGGACAAGTCCGACTTCAGGAGATATGGCAAATGTAACGATGCAGTTGTTTCCACGTTGGTTTTGCACCACTCTGCGAACGGGTTGTCCTCTAACTGCTCTCCCATATGAACGTCGCGTCCAAATGTTGTATCCGCATTCATCGATGGAGATGCAGTGACCAACGACGCCTTGTCTTAAGAACCACTTGGCATATTCTTGTCGCTGTAGGATCACTCTGTCAGCGTACGGGCTTGAGATACATTCTGAGCTAGCTTGAGCGTGATCAACATGCCGACTATAGTCCGTGCTAATGTATTTATTGCAATACGTGGTTTATCAGGGAGCCGTTGTCGTATTTAGTTGGCCCGAGGTTAACAAGGGGTTTTTATCCAGTAACTGTTGAAGGTAATTCTGCATTTCTTGATCCGTTTCTGAACGTGTTCTCCCTCCTCTTGGTAGAGTATCTCTTCTGTTCTCACGAAGGTAAGTTAAGACGATGCTGCGAGCAGTTTGGTACTTCACGCCAAGAGTGTCAGTAACGGTCAGATAGTCGTGTTCATCTCCTTCGAAAGCGTCTATGTATGATGCGACCTCTGTCCGCGTTTGGAACATTAATGTATCGACCTCTTTGAAGCCCTCCATTGGTAGCCATCTTTTTTTTCCAGACCGAGTCTCAACAATGAGTGACAAGACAACTCAGAAATACCCCAAAATTTATAGGACTCCATGGGCTAGAGAATGAGGAGAATGCACGATCGGAATTAAAATGACCAAAACGTTAAAGTTAATGACAAAAATACAAATTTGCTTTGTCATTCAACGCCGATTGCTACAAGAGACGAACTTCAAAGATTTTGGACGAATTGGTATGCTAAAAATTTGAATTATACTGAACGTTGAATGAAATTTAGTGGTGGCTTTTAAGAAGTGAGCTTGGCGATGTTCTGGGACGAAATTAAAGTATCGATATAGGGAATTCGTGTAGTACTTATGTTAAAATAACCGGGAAAACCTATAAAATAAACCAACAAAAGCAAAAGTAAATTGATATAATAATATAAATCTTACCACACGCCCCGAATTACAAGCCCGGTATACGATATTCAATTTACTTCACAACTTACTCTGAATATTCCTTGTAAAACGTTTGTAAACAAAACAAGTTTCATCAGAGAAATTAAGATTACATCTCCAGTGCTTTAAAAAGAAAAAACTACAATGATCCATGAAACCCAGTATCGTTAGTATACCAATTTGAAAGTACATGTACTTTACATTTTACTGTCAATAAATCGTAATGATACAAATGACTTTACTGAAAAACCCTCTAATTATTGAACTTTGAAAGAATATCATGGACAATTTTACCTAACTGTGAAAGAAATTGAGTCCTTAAAAACCAAAATAGTTTCCGTAAAATTACACTGCGTGGGACTTTATGTAGGAGCACTCTTGTCAAAACCTAACGTACAAGATCAAGTTCACCACGCGTTTCAAAGCCTCAATGATAAGTGTCATCGTCCTCGCTTATAACATAGCCTAGAACAAGCTAAACTGGTGAGCGTTTCAACAAGCTTTAACGCAAAAAGGCGGATGATTGACCATGATTTACCACCATGCAGTTCGTGTCTTGCGCACCAACTTGTTCTCAGCAATGAGTTCACGGAGAAAAGCCATGCAGCCAAGCTTGCCTTGCTGAGAAGGGGAAAAAATGGAACAAAACATTAAAATACTAGATATCTAAACGAAACAAAAAAGAGTTTTAACTCGAGTACTACAGCATAATACCTACGACAACAACACTGTCACAATTCTAATGGAGTTGCACTAAATTAAATGTACTCAGGAAAACTGAAGGTAGGAATTAGCACTCCTTTTGGAACAGAGCGGAATAGAGGTTGGAGAGAAACAAGCACCAGGCTAGGAACAGTGTTGTAGGTCTCGAGACCGGTCTCGGTCTCGAGACCGGTCTCGAGACCACTTTTTGCTGGTCTTGGTCTCGGTCTCGGTCTTGGAAGCTGTGGTCTCGGTCTTGGTCTCGGTCTCGGTCTCGGTCTCGGTCTCGGACCATATTGGTCTCGGTCTCGGTCCGCCTTGAAGGGGCTGGTCTCGGTCTCGGTCTCGGTCTCGCAACTTCAGGTCTCGGTCTTGGTCTCGGTCTCGGACTATCCGGTCTCGACTACAACACTGGCTAGGAATTGCAAAGAAATGCTGCACGTGGCAAAAAGCTATTGGAACTTTTCTTAAATGTAGTTTTTGTAAGAAATTCAAGAGGCCAAAAGATTCTGCCTGACTCGACCATTCAGTTATTACCCCAAACATAATTTAACAAAGATGAAATCATCAGGTATTGTGATACGTTTCATGTACTAAAAAAAATATTTCTAAAGCTTAAAAAAATTAGTAATCCCTCCCTAATAACACCCACACAAATGAAAATTACCTGAACCATATAAGTTTGGTCTTGTTCCTCCATCTTGAAGTCCAGAGTATCAAGGTAACCGGTGTTAATACCGATCGTACGATACACGTCCGAGCCCTGTACAGGCAACGAGATGGCTTTCGTTAACTACCTTAATGTAGATCGCATTGGAAATGCAATGTTGTCTAAGCAGAACAATACCACATAAAACCAAGTCACCAAATTGGAAAGAGGAGACAATGTTTTTACAAGTTTTGATTTTAAGTGTTAAACGCATAGCAAATAGACAAATACCACTCAAAGATAGGGAATCTGAACGCAGCGGAATGTCTTTTATTTAATTCTCAAAATTTCTTTATTTAACTGTATATCAAGTTCCATATGGAAATATCCACGTTACCTTCAGATCTACAGTGACTGACACAAAGGACACTTAGATTGCCAAAGTGCTCATAAACAACAACAACAGCAACAACAACAACAACTACAACAACAGCAACAAAAACAGCAGCAACAACAGCAACAACAACAAAAACAACAACAACAACAACAACAACAACAACAACAACAACAACAACAACAACAACAACAACAACAACAGCGGCGGTGGCGGCGGCGGAGGCAGCGGCGGCAGCGGCAGCAGAAACAGCGGCGGCAGCGGCGACGGCGACGACGACTAGGACTATTACTCCTCCTCATCATCATCATGGCCCGAATGTCTCCGAATGTGGTTGCGGCCTTGCCAATGCAGGGGTCGAGTTCAGCACCGAGGGAGTTGGTTTTGGTGATGGTAGAACCAAGGTAATGTGAACTCATCGACCACGCTCAGAGTTGTCCCATTGATGGAGATGGTGGGAGGAACTAGAGAACCATGCGAGAGAGCAACTGTCTTTTAACCCAGGCTGATCTTCATGGCGAACCTCGAGCAAGCTTTGGCAAAGGAACTGCACAGGAATTGGTGATCAGTTTCACTGTGGGCGACAATAGCAGCATCATCTGCCTACAGGAGTTCACGAAAGAGGACGCGTCTGACTTTAGTCCTGTCACGGAGACGAGAGCAGTTGAGTAGCTTTCCTGAGCTGCGAGTGTGTAGCAGTACGCCAGAGGGATCCGGAAAGGCATGCATGATGGAGGAGGGCTGAGAAGAAGATCCCAAACAGAGTGGGAGCTATCACGCAACCCGGTTTGACGCCACAATGGATCGGGAACTTCCTGGATTTAGATCCGTTGAATTGGACCGTGGCTTGCATGTTATCGTAGAATATCATGAGCATGGACAGTAGCGTGTCTGAACAACCCAGGCGCTTCAAGATTGAGAACAGGCCTAAAACGATTGACATGAGTCAAAAGCCTTCATCAAGTCAAAAAAGACGACGTCAAGCGGGCGGTTTAGTACGGAAGCTTGAATTGCCTTCCGCGATACCGCGTTACCGTGATAATTTATCACAGAAATCCGGAATTCAAAGATAAATCCTTCCTCGATACCGCGTTACTGTGATAATTTATCGCAGAAATCCAGAATTCAAATATAAATCCTTCCTCGATACCACGTTACCGTAATATTTTATCACAAAAATCCGGAATTCAAAGATAAATCCTTCCTCGATACCGCGTTACTGTGATAATTTATCACAGAAATCCGGAATTCAAAGATATGTATTCCTCGATACCGTGTTACCGTGATAATTTATTACAGAAATCCTGAATTCAGAGATAATTCCTTCCTCGATACCGCGTTACCGCGATAACTTATCACAGAAATCCGGAATTAAAAGATAATTCCTTCCTCGATACCGCGTTACCGTGATAATTTATCACAGAAATCCGGAATTCAGAGATACCTATTCCTCAATACCGCGTTACCGTGATAACTTATCGCAGAAATCCGGAATTCAAAGACAAATCGGTAACGATCGAGGAAGGAATTATCTTTGAATTCCGGATTTCTGTGATGATTATCGCGGTAACGCGGTATCAAGGAAGGAATTATCTTTGAATTCCGGATTTCTGTGATAAATTATCGCAGTAACGCGGTATCGCGGAAGGAATTATCTTTGAATTCAGGATTTCTGTAATAAATTATCACGGTAACGAGGTATCGAGGAAGGGATTATCTTTGAATTCCGGATTTCTGTGATAAGTTATCGCGGTAACTAGGTATCGAGGAATACGTATCTTTGAATTCAGGATTTCTGTGATAAATTATCACGGTAACGCGGTATCGAGGAAGGATTTATCTTTGAATTCCGGATTTCTGTGATAAAATATCACGGTAACGTGGTATCGAGGAAGGATTTATCTTTGAATTCCGGATTGCTGCGATAAATTATCACAGTAACGCAGTATAGAGGAAGGATTTATCTTTGAATTCCGGATTTCTGTGAATAATTATCGCGGTAACGCGGTATCGAGGGAGGCAATTCAAGCTTCCGTAGTTTAGCTTGCCCCTTAATACACTTTTCCTGTAGCTGTCTAAGAGAAAACACCATGTCCACAGAAGCACGAGATGTGCAAAACAAACACTGGCTCTCAGGGAGAATTCTGTTGGGGATGACCTACAACCTTGGAAGTAGCACACGGGTGAGGACCTTGCCGGCTATGCTCAACAAAGAAATGCCTCTGTAGTTGTTACAATCTTGCCTGTTACCTTTGTTTTGAGAGAATGATTATGTTCGCATCTTTTAGGTTATGTGGGAGACAGTGCCAGCAGAGCAGAAACACACTGAAGAGCTGTTAGAGCAACACCGCCACACTTCAGAACTTCAGGAAGGATGCCATCTGCACCTGGGGACTTGTTGTTTTTAAGCCCGCTGACGGCACGTTTCACTGCAACCAGGTTATATCGCTATTAAGCTCATGCAGGATTGGACGTTATGGCTGTAGGTTAATGCATCAGAGCTCACTTCGGCTTCGCTAGCGTACAGAGAGCTTTGGTGATCTGCCCACCGGTCAAGCTATGCTGATGGATCAGTGAGGGTAACGCCAGAAGCTGACAGCAGTGGAGCACTGATGACCTCTTTAATACCGTTATACAGGCCACGGACTAACTACGCCTCCGCTTGACGGTCTGCTACAACATACCGGAGACACTTGCATGAAGAAAGTGACCACGCTGTGATTGCAGCTGCCAGCCCCTGCTGCCGAGCTGACATATTCACTAGAGGGGAGAAGTTCCTCATCTGCAGGAGTCCACCGTACAGGTTCACTCATGTAGCTGACCAGCCGAGGTCAGTATACCGGGTTGTGGCCACTGCCGTGCATGAGCAGTTCCGTGGAGCCATACATGAGCTAGGGTGCACTGTTGGAACCAGAGGTTAGAGCCCCATGAACATGGGGCGGCTGCCCATCGCCAAAGGTACTATCCATCCAGAACACCCCAACATCCCAGGACTATTACTACATGTACTACTTATGGAAATAAGGATTACCTGAACAAAGATTCTCTTCATATTGAGCAGCAAGCTGTTCACAACGGTGCCGAAGTAGCTCCCCATACCAGTGATTTCCTGCCGGCTGTAGCCCCGGAAATGGTCCATAATCTCCAAGCCTTTAGTCTCCCCGATCGCCATCAGTTCCCGTACAGATAACTTCGAGAAAAAAATGCCCAAAATGTAGGTTCTTAATTTGTAGATAATATATTGTACATGTAGAATCATTTGCTTTTTATGCATTTGGTTCGTGTCCAAAGAGGAATGTTCAAAACCTAACCTGTTCAAGTTTTAGTACAGTGGATATAATTTTTTTTTTAGAGAACAGTGAAAAACCATGTCAGGGGCGGAACCAGGAATAGTTGCGGGGGGGGGTCATCAGCAAACAATTCTGAATTGTCTTTTCTCCGTACATTTGGCCCCCGATAATCAATGTTGGGGGGGGGAGGGGCCTCGTACCACACTTTCAATTGGAGCGCTGTTCAAATCCAACGATTATTAACACTATTACAAAATGGTGTATAAATACTCCCTAACCAAGCTGCCTATTTCCGTATTTTGTGCACAGGCAGACATCGTTACCAGTATATTTTTTGGGGTGTCAAAGCAGGGGGAGGGGGGGGGGGGTGTTACGCATTGGTTTTTATGAATTTCTATGACAAAAACCTAATTTTTGACAGAGCTGGGGGGAGGGTTTGACCCAACCCCGGATCCGCGCCTGCATGTACAACATTTTGATCACGAAACACGATTTCGTCCATAGCACTCCTTATTTCCAAACATCAGTCAGTTATTGACTGATCGTTAGATATCACCTACATTTCTCATAAATGATTGCAAGCCATCACGGAGTGTTTGTAGTACCAATACAATCTTTAATCTGATTGAGGTTTTTGATAATGATTCAGTAGTCTACTATTGCGATAAATGCAAATGATCTATATGTCTTTAAGTGGATATTTAGATTCATCCACTGAAAATACTGTCCTTAAACCAAACCGTCAGACTTACGAGTTTGTGAATAATTTCCTATAAAAGGGGCTTTTGTAGGCGTATGAAATGAAATTAATTATTCTTACTTCGCCATCTCCGTTGGTGTCCAGCTGTTTGAAAAATGCCTTTGCGTCACTGAAGTCATCTCCAAATAACTGCTTCTTGTCTTCAGTTGTAAACTCCGAGTTTGGCTGTGAAGGAGAGGAGTAAACAATTACGTGCGTTCTCGTTAAAAAGATAACATGCGTTTAGAAACTGTAACCTTCGACTGATCGCCGTATGATATTGATACGAAAATTCACTTGTTTTTCGGGGGAGGAGTAAGACCTTGAACACAGGAGAAATCTTCCAAATAGCTGAGGCAATATAACTTCCTGTGGGGCACTGTTCAAATCGAACGATCATGGGCACTTTTGGACAACGGGTGCTTTTCAGGGCGGCACAATAATTGCCCACGTTCCCGCGAAATTCTAAAAGGGGCAACCGTTAAAGGCAGCTGGTCAGAATAGGGCACTTCTGTATGAAAAAAACACTCTAAGACTTAAAAGGGGCACTTGTTTACAAAAGGGTACTCTTTAAAAGAAAAGGGGGGGGGGTAAACACCCTCCCCCCACCGCTGATTACGCCACTGATACCTTGGTCATGGCCTTCTCGAATTCCTGTTCATTGATTGTCCCGCTGTGGTCGATGTCGCTGTCTCGAAGTACCTTGAAAAACTTGGAAAACGACTCAATAAGTGTTTGGTGCTCGGTCCTCTTTTTCTCGATTATCTGCATTGCCTCCTTCCGGTTTCTGTGTTACATAAGATAATTGATTTTATACTTTTGTTTGTCAATTTTGACACTTTGTATCTGTTTATCTTTGCATGAACAGAATTTGCTGCTGAGACTACATAATATGCGGCTCATTAAGAATTCAATGAGTATTATGCGTCATGTCAACGCTTGTGCGCGCTTCGCCGAATAAAAAACCGAACTACTAGCGGAAATTTCCAATGATGCGTCTTAAGACGGTCGAAAAGTCAAAACAAGTCAAAATTATAAATTCCAACGATTTTGCACAACAAATTTACTTCATGTTTTGTGAAGCACCTCTACCTATGTGTATGGTATGTGCCTCGAACGAGTAGTACTAACAATCTCCTTATATGGAGATTGGCGCGCGCGTGGCGAAGTGGCGACAATTTGAGGTACACCGTAAGTTACCCTGAAATCAGAATAACACTTTTGTAAACTAGCCTATTCTACATGTACAAAGATCGACTACAATAAACCCATAATGCTCATAATAGCTCCTCCATCTCGTATGGGCCATTGCAAAAGCCATTTTAGATTACGTTTCATCAATGACGAGACGTGTCCGAGAGTTTAGCTATTATGCTATGATATTGTAACGGAAAGTGTAGGGACTTATAACCCGTCTAGTGCTATTGCTCATTGCAACGTGATTGTATTATAATGTCATGAACTGTACATGTAGTACGTGCGTGACTGGGCGTGGCTTAGCGCGCAGTGACTCAATGCACGTACGTTATTGGTTGCCAAAGGCCCATAGATTAAGTACATGCATATGTGCTTGTACAGCGTTTGCGTGTTTACGTGAGGGGTTCTCACGTGATCGCGCGGGGGAGTTGTGTCGTAGAGCGGACGGTAAGGTAATGTATTGCTGGCGCTCTGGGTTTGGGGTAATGCTGACGCGCGCTGTGTAAAGGCACTGACTGTGCTTCAGTTGCGCTGTGTGATGCTGACGCGCAGTCGTACAAGTGAATGTACTGTACGATGCTGACGCTAGCTTGTTGGGTAAAAGCGTAAATCAGGTTAACGCTGAACAGCGTGTATTGTTTACATTAGCGTGCATTACTTACATTGGCGTGTATTATTTACATTGACGGGCATTACTTACATTAGCGTATATTGTTTACCTTGGCGTGCATGACTTACATTTATTAATTGGCGTGCATTGTTTACACTGGCGTGGATTACTTACATTGGCGTACATTAATTACATTGATGTGTATTGTTTACATAGGTGAACATTTTTTTACATTAGTGTACATTGTTTACATTGGTGTGTATTACATACATTGGTGTGTATTACTTACATTGGTGGTGTGTATTGCTGACATTGGTGTACATTGTGGACTGAGCAGTGCAATGTTTAAATTGAGCACCGTCAGGCTGTGCGCGTCGCTGCTTATGCGAGCTGTTAGTTGTCTCCCAAGTGTAATTAAGTGATCCTGGTAATTAACAACCTCATTAAGACTCAATCACTACTGTATATTTCTTGATTATTGTATAATAAATTACGATCATATTTGTTGTGCCAACAATCCTGTTGTCAAGGTGTATTTCATGCTGGTTTATTGTGCAATTAACAGAGAGTAATCACAATCATCATAATCGGCGGTATATTTCCTCCAAAACGGACCTGCTCCCTAAGACTTGAGGTCGCTCTGAGTGGTCTTCCGTCTTGGGAAAGCTTGGGTACGGGAAGATCAGCTACACTCTAATAGGTGTCAGACTTGGTCCCAATGAACTTAGGTTTGGCCCCGGGAGATCCCCGCCACAATATCGTGAACAAAAATGAAAAGGGACTTTACTTGGCCAGATGAGTGTTTGGAAAGTCCAGCTTTTCATCCTCTTTGATATACTTCTTACAACGTTGCACCAGGTCGTCCTTCATAATCTCCCTCTCATCCACGTACGTCAGTGAAATATGACACCAGTGTCAACTTGGTCTGAGCGTGCGCACATAAATTATGATAATGGCCACCCGAAATCCCGCGGGAGAACGCTGTACGCACGCGTTTGTGACGTCACTACGCAAAAACGCGCACGAACTTTCCACGCGTAAAAACGAACCTCAAAGTTCTGCTTTATCATTCCAAAAATGTTTTTTTCCAGCAAATTTGCCTTGGCTGACCTAGTAGTCCATTAATTATTGTAATTTTTCCATTTTATGAGAACTGAGCTAATATTTTTTGCACTCAACCAGAAGTTGATCTCGTTCGCGTATTTCACGCTTTTCATGAGAAGCTTGCGTGTAATTGTATAGGGAACTTACCTGCGTGCTAAAGCATAGGCAGATTCACGAGTGTTTAAGCAGTTCCGTGAATTTTTTTATTGTTGCACCTGGTAGACTGTTAAATTACAAGATAATCCATTATTTATGAAAAGTAGCAATGGTATTCAGTAAACCTATTCCTCATTTAAATTATTATAATTATTTCATTGAATTTTCTCTTTCCATCCCTTTCTTTTTGAAAGCCCTAGTTTCAATTTCAGTTTTAAACACCGACCAGTTTTAGTGTTTTGCTTTTTGTTTTTTCAACAAAATAATTTGTAAAAAAAAACACTTTTATTCGAAAATCACTAGAATGAAAAATTAAATCCTTGCTGCAATCCTAATTTCGAATCCAATATAACAGCCGATGTTACTAGACCCAAGCATTTTTGTCTTATAACCATACTGCAATTTTTGTTCACTACATGTATACTGCAATTTCAATTTAATCAGGAGATATTTTGTCTAAATAAACAATTAAAGTCTCTAGTTTCGCATTGGCTTGATGATACATGTACTTGGTTGTCAGCAGAAGCCATGTAATTATATTCTAAGACTAAGTCGGTAAACTTACTTTTGATTTCTTCTGACTACTTCTGAGTACATTTGTTAATGGTTACATTTCTGTTTAATGCATGTCTAGTCTCCATTATTGAAAAATAATTAAAAATCTTTAAAGTATATTAAATAAAAGGATTTTTTAAATTCAGTTCAAGTCTGGCCATAGTTTTATTCTTCACAGAGTTCTTCATCATGTCTCGTAATGTAGATTCCAAGGTCTGCATCGTCATCAGAAGGAACGACAATCAAAACATCTCCATTTACAGCTGCAAAAAAAATGGAAAAGGAAATAAAGCAAGATTAAAAAATGCAAAACGCAACATTAAAATGTCTAAAAAATATATGACACAAAAATACATTGGAAGAAGGAATAGCCAAGTCATAATCACAAAATTTAATTTGAAATTGAACCAGTTTTCATATTTACTGCACATAACCAAATCCCTGTTTACCCGCATATTACACCCAAAACTCGACTCCAAAGCGGTGCCTGTCACAAGCGATGTTTGTGGTGGGGTTTCGAGCTCGAACTCCCGGCACGGGTGGCCGGCGACGACCGCGTGATGCCGCCGAATGGTGTCAGATTTCTTCCCACGAGCATGACGAGTGCGGGCATGCAATGCCTGCCATGTCCTTTATAACGTGGTGTGAATGGAGATCGGAGGTTTCTTGACTTCGACGAGACATAAGCAGTACAAAATCTTCGTTTTTGCTGCAAGATTCAGCATTTTGGAACTCGTTTAGCAGCTTCCCAGTGTGCATTTCTTGATGCTCAACGCGTGTCACATGCGTTTTCAAGCCGAAATGTCGCCAAAAATGTGATATTCAAGGACGAAAATTCACGAAAAAAAAAATATTAGCTCGGTTCCCACATAGAAAACAATGAAGATTACACCCTCGTTCACTACTTTTCAGAAGTTAAAATTCCGTAAAAAAAACACTTTTAGAAATATGCCCTTTTTTGATGAGATATCAAGAAAAAAGTTGAATTTTCATGCAAAATCATCCCAAAATTCAAACTTGGATAAAATTAGTTTACAAAATGATATTTTTATAATTTAAAAAGAATTTATCATTTTGATGAAGCCTCCTTACCAACCGGGGTGCTTAGAAACCGTCAGAGGCGATGTCATCGCTGATATGGGGTGGTTTAATTGGTGAGTTTTCGCGCTGATAAAGAAATGAATATTCATGAACCGATAATTAGGAGCACGTACGCGCGCGTACGCCCGCCATTTTTAAAAAAATACGCGCACGCGCAAACCGTTTTGCGCGGAATAAGATACGTGCATCGTCGGCATACTGAATGTGATCACACAAACATGGAGGTCATAAATAGTTAAAGGGCCATAATAATTGTGACCTCATACCGTTAGTAAACGTCACCAATGATATTTCACAAGCAATGAAACTGTAAAACTCTAGGTGTATATTTCAGAGCGTTCGTAGACTACGAGACTCGAGAACAACTTAAGGAAACGTATTAACGGTATGAAAAATATATATATATATATTACAAAACAGTTTTACCTACTGAAGACTTGTTTATACTTTGAGCATTGTTATATAATTGAACTCCTTGTGAAAAGATTGATGTACTGACTTTAGATCTTTTTTAAGACAGAGTCGATAAGGGTGGATACAAGTAGCACCAGTATGTCATATCAATTAACTCGGATTTCAAATGAAGGCGATGAATAAATGACACAAAATTTGCTGTTCTCTTTGAACATTGTCATCAAGTGCATTCTGTCACTTACAAGTAGGATCCCCAATGTTTTCTCGTTCTTCGGAGAGAAGCGTTTGTTGGGGTCCCAGAGTTTTGGAAGTTGCTCGAATGGCTGAAGACGTTGAAGAAAGGAATCTTCGGGTTTCGTGGACAAAAACCAGCCTGCAGCAGAAAAATGCAGTTAACAAGATATGTTTCTAAGATTATGAATAGGTATATTTTGCCCTATATCGATAACGCAGTCCTATGGCTGAAACACAATGTCATCTACAAGTGTATACGACGGTCGCAGATTCGACTGTTGAAGGTCTACACAAAATGTATGATTTCTTATTCGAGAAAATAATCTCATAGTGGCAAAATTCCTCGCAAAATTAAATCCTTTACACATTTCTTACATTGTCTCACTGAAGCAGCCAACCCAAGTGCGGATACAGGGGGAGGGGCAACGGGGGCCATGTCCTCCCCAAAACAAAAAAACGAACCCAGCTTTTTTTAAGTGACGTCGCAAAAAAAGGCAGCCACTGCGTACACAACCATCTTTTGCTGGAAAAAAATGGTTAAAGTGGTCAAAAATGGCCTGAGATCGCACCACAGCGCATCTAAAATCCAAAAAAAAATTGGCCGTAAATTTTTGGAGCCACTTTTTTGGGGGACATTTTTTTAGGCCCCCCAAAAATTGTGTTATGGATCCGCCCTTGAGCCAACCACGCACTTTTCTAACCCTTAAGAATGTAAAATTATGGCTTTCCGACAACTATACAGCAATATATTCTGTAGTTAACTTTCCTTGAGTTAAATTTCAGGCTATAATTCCATTAAAATAGACATCTAAGCATTCATTGTATTGCACAACTACTGGTCCAATGTTTTAGTTAGTTATGAAATGTTTATGACTTCAATGAATAGTGTACATTTTATTGAATCGATGATTTGGTTCGAGGTTCCGTGAGTGAAATTTTGGGTGCGGACGGCTGATCACAAAAATAACATACAAAGAGTGAGCTTTACCGTCGTAGCAATGTATTGGATAGTTGCAGAGAAGTCCTCCATCTACGTAGTAGTCCTTTGAGTTCCCGGTCTTTTCCTTCACGGGACAAAAAAAACCTGTACAGAGAAAACAGTATAACCGTTTGATCCATGCTCCACGCGTACATCAAAAGGTATTATTTTGAAGTGGTGCATGAGGATTCCTGGCGGAGTAACATTAAACCCTCGTCAAAAGGCAATTTAGACCTTCTTTTTGATAGTTAAGGTCAATTCATACACACACAAAGAGATCTAACAAGAAAAGAACGACATTTTCGACTTCCGGTTACCTCAAAATTTGCCTCATACACTCTAAAAAGTCCCGGGTCAGATTTGACCCGGAAAAGGGTCGTGTGGGACCTGACCCTTTCCGGGTCAAAAATGACACTTTTCTGGGTCTAAAATTACACTTTGTGACTCATCTTCCGGGTCAATTTGACCCGGAAAAGGGTCGTGTGGGACCGGACCCTTTCTGGGTCAAAAATGACACTTTTCTGGGTCTAAAATTACACTTTGTGACTCATCTTCCGGGTCATTTTGACCCGGAAAAGTGTCATTTTTGACCCGGAAAAGGGTAATTTTTTGACCCGGAAAAGGGTCAGGCCCCACACGACCCTTTTCCAGGTCAAATCTGATCCGGGACTTTTTAGAGTGTAAATGATAGAAATGTGCATTCCCTTTGATAAAAATAAGAACAAAGATATCCTGACAGATGCGTTGACTGCGTACATGTATAAATCACATAAAGGGAAGGCTAGACGTATAAGGAGTGGTCATTCACCATTTATCGAGATCGAACTGTTTTGCAATTCCTTTTGTGACCTAAATAGTAAAACCACGATGTCTTTCTGTAGGTGGTTCATAGGCAGAGGCTTTTTGCAGCCAAATCGACATTCCATTTTTCTCGTAATCAACATGGCCCTTTTCGCCATTTTCAAGAAAATGTAATAAAAATCGGACCCATACCATTTTTCGAGAAATATCAAAGTTTTGATCTTTGCGAAAGCAATTGAGTATTTTTCAATCACAAACTTTAATATACATTGAACATCCTCGTGCTGAAACCTTTGACTAGATTGATTGAAACTATATAGACAATAAACTTCATTGTAAAACATAAAGTGACGATTTGTTGTAGAAATCGGGTAATACAAAAGCAAACTTTAACTTGATGTTAAAAGAATTAAAGTAGGCCATCTTTAGCCAAGACAATATAGGCCTGCTTTAGGCCTAAAACCGTCCTAAAAAAAAGTCCAGTGCGGACAGGGCTTTTGTCTGTACCTGGAATACAGCCGGACATCTGAACTGCTTTTCTGATGGGAAGATCGGGAGTGGTTTTGACATGGCAATACGTGCAGTCCATGGTGTTCATGTTGGCCACGGTAATACAAAGCTCCGTTCCTCGTTTGTACAGCTGGTTGGGTAAAAACAGAAGCTTTGCTACCTCACGATCTGTTCATGGTAGGGTGGCTTGTGTTTGGAATAGTAACCGACTGGGTCATATGACCTATTCAAAGCATATTTAGAAGGGCACGAGGGCACCTTATTTGCATAAATCTTGTTCAAAATGACACTTTTCTGGGTCAAAATGACACCTTTGCCCAGACTTGCGGGTTATTGTGAGTATTAAAGAGAAGTGTCATTTTGATCCGGAAGAGTGACCCAGGACTATTTACAGTGTATCGTGTATCTCAAACATTAATTGATAAACAGCGCTAAAAACATCTCCCCGAGGCACGCAACAATATCAATCATACAAAACACGCATTATAAAGGGACATTATTTTCTTCCCTTTCTCACTACTGTGTTGCACCCACCTGCTTAAATGTCAGATCCGCATTGCCCGTCTTCTCTTTGACTCGCTCACCGAACCAGTGGAAGATCTTCTTGCCCGGATGCCAACCGTAGCGTCTCAGCATGTTAGGAAGAAAACTGAGTTTACCAAATCTGGCATCTGGAATCAAACCACATACCACCATTCTGTACATTCGCTCGTATCCAATGCACTATCAAAGATGACCACAAATATTATCACTCCCCTCCTCCCCAGTCTCCGCCCCTCCTCCTCAGCCACACCCCCTCCCCGATGATGCAATACGGTTTGGCCTACTCACCAAGGAAGACTTTCGAAATACCGCCTCTCAGGAATGCCTCGATATCATGCGAGTTATATCCCACAGCCACCAGTGCAGCAACCATTGAACCGGCACTGGCCCCAGCGAAACGTTTGATGTTTCCCCAGTACCCAAGCTCCTCAAGGACCTGTGATTCAAGGAGAAAATCTATTTTTAATTAACAACTATATTATATCTATACTCGGCACTTTCAATATATAAATCCCAGCCTCTGTAAGTTTTCCATTGTATGCAGAGACACATTTTCAACTTAGTTTGTCGAAGGATGATTATCTTCATAATTAACACAAGTCATAACTGAGTACAAACTTTGACTTTAGCGGCCCCACTTTTGCATTTGTTGTAGTTTTTAGAACACGTTTTCTAAAACATGTACCTTGAAAAAAAAAGGTTTTTTTTTATTGAACTTGACAAGTATCCTGGGATTGTTCATCACCGGGCATTTCAGACATAGATCCATCAGCCATTGTGGAAGCCTTTATATAACAAGTACTATTATGTAACATCTTCTACTGAGGTGTTGACGTACCGACACATCGAAACAAATACATCTTTACATGCATGAATTGGAAGATTCTTGCTTCTGTGCAGGGCTTAGACTTGAGGACAAAATCACCATACACAGTCTTTCGGCTCCCCCAATATATGAGAACAGCGCAGTGTATCATCGTAATGATATGCTGGGGGTTTTTCCAAGCGACTTGACTAACGTCATCTAACCAAATGTTTCTCAGTCTCACGTAATTTTTCCAAACATAATTATTTGCAATGTCTGACTAAGGGCGGATCTAGGTTTCAGGAAACGGGGGGGGGGGGGGGTTATATGAAGAGGGGATTGATTTAATACACTCGTCTGAAATCGACGATGCTTATTCAATTCAACGCCAATCTCCCCATGAGACGAATTTCCCAACATTTACACGAATCAGATGCTATATATATATTCGTGAATTACACTGGACCTAAATATGATCGGAAATATCTGACAAAATTATGCCCGAGTTGGGAGATGGTAACACATTCGTGAAAAAATTATCAATTAGCGTAGCAGAAGAATCAGTTATTCTAGTGGGCTTATCAATTAATGGTAAACAAGGATAAGAAGTAATGAAATGAGTAAAAGCCTGTGTGCTGGGGGCTGTATGATTGAGTAAATTAATATTAAAATCCCCAGAAATAATATAATTTTTGTTGGAAGATGTCATTCTACAAAACAGATTTTGAAAAGGTGGTAAAAAATCAAGTACATTGACAATTGGAGGTTTATATAAGACGCCTGCGATAATACCCTTAGTTTTGGGAAACGAAATTACAACAAAGAGAGATTCTAAAACATCTTCAGAATGGGTAAGATCCTGTCTAATTTTAAAATCGAGGTCACTGGAAATATACAGAGCTACGCCTCCACCCATTTTTCCCTGTCTGTTATTAACAATGAGATTATACCCTGGTAAAAAATAATAATTATGTGGATATGTTTTCAGCCAGGTTTCAGATAATGCGATGACCGAGAACTTAAATTTCAATGTAAGCAACAAAAGTTTAAGTTGATCGAAATGTTTTTGAAGACTCCTAATATTGATATAAAGTAGAGAAAATCCATCAATATTTTTATAGGTCCTCGAGAACTGTTCACTAGAGTAGTATTGTGAATTATTAAATAAAAGGAAAGGATTATTTGAGTCAACGTATCAGGCATACTTTACTTTACAGGCACACACAAAAACAAGGAGACAAGGACAAGTAATTCAAATACAAAACAATTAGGTTAAGTGATTGAAATGAGCACTGATAATCAAATTATCCTTTTTAAAAGATGTATGGATCGACATCCAAACAGTATATTTGTACTAGGCCGCCACGAACAGATAAATATACACGACAATGTACATCAAAAAGAAACTATGCGTATTTTTACTAGTCGCGACACTCGCAACCCTTGGTCCAGGAAGGGCCAGTGACGAGCAACTCAACATAGGAACTAACTAGTCCAACCATGGAGCTATAAAAAGTTGGCCCAACCATGGGAATTTGTCAGATAGTTTATTTGAGTTTGTTGAGGTCGTCAGCACAACCGATTATGATGCGGGCACCACTCTTTTTCCGAACTTCGATGCGTCCATCTTGGGTCCAGACTTTCTCCACCGTGGGAAGACGTCTGGCGGTGTTCAGCCAACCTTGTCGCACCTGCGTCAAACTCTCATGAACAAAAATGTTTTTTCCTTTAAATTTTGACTTCAGGCGGTAGAAGGAAGACCGCGTATCGTAGTCCAAAAATTTCACGACGACAGGTCTGGAACGAACATTTTCAGACTTATCCAGGCGCGAACCGATACGATCGATGGGCGCGGTCAACACTGTTCAGGCCTAAGTCCAGGCCGACGTGGTGTTGCGCAACGTCGATAATCTTTTTGTGAGTATTCTCAATCTCTGGCGATGCTGGCTCAGGAATGCCGTGAACAATGACCGTATTACGGCGGCTGTATTGTTCTGTTGTTCGATCCTCGATTTAAGATGGCGCAATACATCATGCTGCAGTTTCGCAATGTGTTCATCTCTTTTGATGAACTCGAGCTGCATAGCCTGGTGCAGGTTGTGAGATATAGCATTGGAGAGGGCAGGAATGATAAGGTCAAGAACCGCCTGGGACTTGAAGGCCTCAGATATAGCAGTAGCTAGGGCTATGGGGTCAATAGACGCTTCAGGGGTAGACACAGTTTCTGCCGAGGCTTGACGTTTTGGCGGCATATTTGCAAGTTGACAAGGTTCCAAATGTCTTCAAAAGAGCAGACTACCGGTATGCCAGAATGGCAATGAATACTCACAGGTTGAAGCAAGATAAGACAGGTCATCCCTCAGTTAAACTGCTACAAAGATTTGGAAAAAACTGCCCCAATACTGCCCAGTAAAATGTGAACTGTCGGAGCCGATTCAAAACACGTCCGTTCACCACGCTTCTTAATTGTTAAAATCACCTCTTTTGCATTATTTAGATTAGGTTCATGAAAAAATAGCATTTTGAAGATTAAATTTGATAAATAGCGGCAATTAGGGTATACAAAGTTCATTATGGGTATACATTTTAGGGTATACAAAAATCCGATATGAAATGCCTCCATGTCTGAACATTTTTGTTTAATACTGGCATGTTCGGAGTTTCATGCTCTTATCACAAAGTGCACAATTCTGTCCCTATGCCGCTCCACTAGTAGCGAAACGTCTATTCGTCCGATGCAAAATGGTTTTCAATCCGTTGATAATCAATTACGAAATCAGTAGTCATCATACCTTTGTGACACTCAATAGTTCATTTTAACTGGCAAAGCAAGACGTTCACAACGGACAAACAAACCTTTCGCAACGCGCCTGAAACGCGGATAGTCACTTTGAGCTTCCGCATTTAGAGGAAACGAAATAATATTTCGAGGGAACGAAATGATGTATTTCGAGAGAACGAAATAATATTTCGAGGGAACGAAATAATATTTCGAGGGAACGAAATAAAATTTCGAGGGAACAAAATGATATATTTCGAGGGAACGAAATAATATTTCGAGGGATCGAAATAATATTTCGCAGGAACGAAATAATATTTCGAGGGAACGAAAAGATTTCGAGGTAACGAAAAATTATTTCGAGGGAAGGAAATAATATTTTGAGGGCACGACATAATATTTCGAGGGAACGAAATCATTTTTTGAGGGAACAAAATAATATTTCGAGGGAACGAAATAAAAAAAAAGAAGATCATCATGCCTGTCCCTTTAGGGGCTCCGTACTGACATAGTGTGAAATGCCGATAGGTTTCGGAAGCTCGCCGCGTGACTTTTACACTTTCAGATTCTATTTCCTGGAATGATCATGAGAGCACACTAACCTGATTGCAGCTTGCAGCTTGGGAATTCCAGCTTGGGAATTCCCTCTTATTTTTTTTTTTTTTTTTACATTTTTGACACGAAAGATAATTCACTTTAATACAACTGCATGAGACTCAAAAAAAGAAATGAAAAATGACGTCATGGTGTTCTTCTACAGTATGAACCAATATCTCCGACATTTAGAATAAATAAGACCGGAAAATGTGACGGCGCTTCGTAACTGACTGAAGTTATCACTAAGAGGGGAGGTGTTTACCCCCCACCAATATTTTGTGAAGACTGCCCTTTTCCATTCAAATGCCCCTTTTTTTCACGAGCGCTTACCCTCCCCCCCACAATATTTGTAAAGAGTGTCCTTCTTTTATTAACAAGTGAAATGCCCTTTTTTTCTGAACAAGTGCCCTTTAAAAAATCGTGCCCTTTTTTGTGCCATCGACCGTAATGTATGCCTTTTTGTTTTAATTTCACGCATGTAAAAAAGGGGTCCCTGATAAGCACGATTATGTTACTGTACGTTACTGTGCATAATCGTTGGTTTAGAACAGCTCTCCCATCGACAGATGGTGCCAGCCCTCCCCCCCCCACTATTTTATTTTATGGAGGCCACATGTCCGAAGAAAAAAAACGTGTCTACAATTCAGCACGGATGTGCATGTGCCCTTTTCAAGAAATGTTTACCCCCCTCCCCATAACAATGACCTTGCTACGCCCCTGTGTGCAGAAGTGTCACTTGTTCCCTTTAATGTTCCTCCTAGTAATTTTTTATCGCCGCTCGTAAATATTACACCTGCATTTCATTGCATTGTAAATACAGCAACCCAGCCCGCTAAAATCAACAATACTTGGATATAATGACAATAAATAAAATAACTCCAGTCTCATGTACATCCGCCACACAATAATGAAAGTGATAGTCGGTAGAAGTATTAATAAATGTTGGGCAGTAGCAGGCCATTTTTATGCCTACAACTCGGCAGATGCGAGTACCTTTAATATATCCTTTATACATTTTGTGAGCCTACTCATAATAAATATATTTATCACCAAAGAGCTATACATAATAATTTCTTACAATTATCAGTTATTACATCGATAAAGGAACGGAGAAACGCACATAATTCCTTTTGAGGTCACCTTGCGCTGTGTGAAAGAAGAGAGCATAAACCAAAAACTCTGCAAGTAAATAAGTGTTTGAATGTGTAATTGGAACTGTTCAGATGTCTCAGTCTGATTAGGTAATTGGAGTTCTAAAGGCGTATCGACAGACACTTAAACGGAGCAGGATTGCGGGAATCACAAGACAGTTGGTCGCAATAGTTCCAATTTCTCGTCTACTGGGGATTAATTGAAAAAAATGTGAACAAAAACGTAGTCACCACCTAAAACACATACTGACCCGAATTGCCCCCGTTGCTGCTAGGCCCTTGTTCCCTCCGCCCTCCAACACGATACCATCATAAAGGAAGTCATATCCTCCGAGTTCCTCCTTTTGCTCAGCCGTGAGAATCAGTGAGTCGGCGGCCGAGGAAGAAGCTTGAGAGACTGCCGCACTCATCTCGTTGGCACCATCACCTTTCGCATTATCAGGTCGTTGGGAAATTTCCACGTACTTTGAAATTGAGCTAATTTTGACAGTGTTTGAAGTCGACAGCAAGAAGGGTAAAATACACGCACAATGCGCTACACTACACGGTTGAACTGTTGTATGTTGTTGTATAGTTCTGAAGATGGCGCTTAATAATGTCACATTGGACTGAGCCTTTGCGTCATTAATTGTGCGCGGTTTCTGCAGTGAAACTTAATCGACACTGGCATGGATTGGCGCTGGATGGAATCTGTCAGGAATCGAAAACTATAGGAATCGATACTTGGAGTGCGTTCGATTCCCCCAGCTTACTCGCGCCTGGCTCCTCGCGTGATGACAGACATGCGCAGTGGAGTTAACTAAACGAACGGTTTCGGGTAAAGTATCGTGCAAGAGATAATGAAAGTTGAACTTTGACATGACACAGGCTGCATCCGAATCAACTGTAGGTCCACGCCCATTGAAAAGACGCGGGGACGCGCTGACAAACGGCGTAGCCGTAGCTCTGGAGGCACGTTTCGGACACGGCCTCGGGCGCCCACCGGTCATTACGTTGGCAGCCATGTTTATTGCAAGGCCTATATGGTTGCAGACCAGTAAATAAACTTCCATAGACCCCAATGGTAAATGCTCACACTTCAGAAATTCGGGAAAAATACTCACAAATCTCCAAGGTGTTCGAAACACACAGCAAATTAAAGCGTGTTTCATCATCTTTCATTTTCTTTTCAATTTTTTTTTGGGGGGGGGGGGGTTAACTGATGACTTTAAGGAGAATTTTCCCATCCGAATATGATCACCCCTGAAAATAGTCCTGAAGCCCATCGCCATTTTGAAAAACGATGCCTACACTCCATTGCAAAATAGAGCGCTTTAAGGGCCCCAATTTCATCCAAATTGAACGGAACTACAAGTTCACAGTCCTGTGCACGGCTTCCACCCATATTTTTTACAAACCCTCAAGTTCATGGCCCACAGCATGCTCAAATACTGAAGATTTTGAGGGCATGCAAATCGTGATTTGGTCGGCGTAGGCAATTTCGGACCGATGTACTGGTCTGCACCCATGTAGCACCTCTAGGGTTGCAGACCAGTAAATAAACTTCCATAGTAATGGTAAATGCTCCCACTTCAGAAAATCGGGAAAAGTACTCACAACTCTCCAAGGTGTTCGAGACACACATCAAATTAAAGCTTATGTCATCATCTTTCATTTTCTTTTCATTTTTGGGGGGTCAACTGGTGACTTTTAGGAGAAATTTCCATCTGAAGATGATCACCCCTGAAAATAGTCCTGAAGCCCATCGCCATTTTGAAAAACGATGCCTACACTCCATTGCAAAATAGAGCGCTTTAAGGGCCCTAATTTCATCCAAATTGAACGGAACTACAAGCTCACAGTCCTGTGCACGGCTTCCACCCATATTTTTGTACAAACCCTCAAGTTCATGGCCCACAGCATGCTCAAATACTGAAGATTTTGAGGGCATGCAAAACGTGATTTGGCCGGCGTAGGCAATTTCGGACCGATTTACTGGTCTGCAACCCTAACAGGGATAGACAAGGAGATCGCCATGTTGGATTTCGCTTGATTAAAAGCATCTTATCTGCGTCCGTTTTCCTACAGTTGCTTAGTAATATTTGCTTAATTTAAATTATTTATCATAATTTTATTTGCTATATTAATAAAATGTTTAACTTTAAGTTGCGATATCGATAGCATTGTCCAAAAGCAAAACCACCCCAATCTATAATAGTATGGTGTACTATTAAGGACACTGAATTGTCGCCATAAGAGTCGTTAAGCGTCGCGTAATATACAAATAATGAATGTTTGTGAGTGCAATGGTAAGAATAATTTCAAGAGGTGACAGATGAAATGTTCCATTCCACGAGGCGAAGCCGAGTGGAATGGAACATTTCACCTGTCACCGAATGAAATTATTCTTCCATTGCACGAACGTGAAACATTCATTATTTGTTTTATATAACACCTGAATAAATCCTTGTCATCTGATTGGTTGACTTTTAAATAGCCAATTTATTCAGGTTAAAAACTGTTTAAAAGTTCGATAAGTTCATCATATTTAATGAATGCAAACTGTTTAACAGGTTGAGAACCATATCATATTCAAGTAATCTCGATAAAAAACAGCGCCACCACCGGCAGCAGTGACACCGTGCAATGGAAGTTCTATTCACCGTGCAATAGAACTTCCATTGCACTGTGCGCTGCGCGCCGCGCCCGCGCCGTGCGTTGGGACGAATAATTCAATAACATGTGATCAACAATCCATCAATCAGAGGACGGGGATTTATTCAGGTGTTGTATAATTGAGGTTTAGCTTACGCAGACTGCGCAGACAGTACGCGGGACTTTGCCGATCGTCTGTCACGCAGTCTGCGTCGGTCTGAGTTGTCGGCGACACTTCCGGATGAAATGTTTCCATATGTCCGCGTTGTAGTTTGGGCTCTGTTTGCGTTTCACTTTGCGTTTCTTACGTCGATATGAAAACTAGGCTTAAAACTATAGTCCATCATTTGCAGCTATCCGAAAAGTAACTGGCGTAAATTGTTTTTGAAAAACATACTTGGTTGAAAGATAGTAAGGGGACTAAACTCCCTGTGAAATTATTCTTTCTGGCAAGCTGTCAATTTGAAGTAATCAACGAAAGAAGGCCTTTCCAACGGTGCTTCTTAAGACGCACCGTAGGAAATTTAAATTAGTAGTTCGTTTTGTTATTCGGCGAAGCGCGCGCAAGCATTGGCACGACGCATACGAGGGCGCGGTTGCTATAATTCGTCGGATCAGTGCGCGACATTGCGTAGCTGCAATCGGCTCAGTGAGAACGTGTCTCGGACGCTGAATTCAGGCCCAATTCAAAACATAATTCAGCAACTTTTGATTTGAAATTGAGATCCTAGAATGTTGTTTTTCTCGGAATATACAGCTGAAGCTGAGCTGAAACTTCATCAGGTTAGTTGTTCAGTACCCTCCTTTAGATTTTGAGCACTTTTGTTGCTTTAAACGAACGAAATGCACAAATTACAAATGATGGACTACATGTATATCTTTACACGCGTCGTGAAGTCTTTTCACGCGTCGCGGTAACTATCTTCACGCGTCGCTATAAGTTTCACACGTCGCGATAAGTCTCTTCACGCGTCGCACTCATCTTCACGCGTCACGTTAACGCCCTTTTCACTTCTTCTCCAGTAACCCTAAGATGTCATCCATCACCTACATTCCAAACTCCTGTTGTAAAGGGCAAAAAGTGAGAATTGAACACACCCACATGTTCTTGATAACAGAATGGCTTTATTATCTAGAATTTATTCAATCCAATTTCCTTTCCTCCAATGAAAATTATGAAACTATACCTATCAGTCCAACCGGTCTGAAACACAGGCCAAGCACATATTTATTACCATTCATAAATACTTTTTCGGTCAAAAAAAATCAAAACTGTTTGGTCCAAAAGTCAAAACAAGTCAAAAATTATATATTTCCAACGATTTTGTTTACAAATTTTGTATTATGTTTTTCGAAACACCCCTCAAGCTATATTATGGAATATTCATTTTCCGAAAAGGCGTACACAACTCCTTATATGGGAATTGGCGCGCGCGTACAGCTAGATGTTTGATGCTTGAACGCAGCTGTGCCGGTGTTGTGTGAATTTCGGACTATAAAAATACTGACTCATGGTACTTGGTACTGTTGCGCATGCCAACGTGAGGATTGTGAAATAATAAAACGGTAAAAGGCACCGGATTTCACAGGAGTCTAAATTTCGACCAGTAGGAATGGATAAACTGTCTTAGGTATTTATGAATAATAATTAACAAGTCCCTAGTAAACCTATAATAAATAGCAGGTAAGATTCAAAGGAATTCTGTACATCAATACCACCCTAATTTATTTGTCTTATTAGGACTTACGAAACCTCTTAAAATGTAAATCTGATGACAAACCATTATTTGGGGATCAGGAGTGAGCAAAACAATATTTACTTCAGTATGTTGAGCCCCTACAAGGCAAGTAACTCTTGGGTGGGGGGAATGTGTTGGTTGTTTTCCTTGTGGAAATGATCGATTTATCAGCAACTGACTGGTTAATTGTTGACTACTCTTCCGTTATATTTCATCACTACTGCATGAATCTCCAACCATAAAAACGCTGGCGTTTGAGTTAAATCAGATATAGCTCCGCACTTTTTGCGGTTAGCTCACCAAGTAAAGGAAGTGTATTTATGCACACATAGTAGTCCTTTATTAAAAAGAATAATAAGTGCGCCCTCTTGTGACCATTCCAAAATAAGCGGGAATATTTCGGATCTCCCCTGAGGTCCTTGACCAATAGTCTGGTTCCCTAGACCTGACAATTATTCCCGACGCTCCAATTGTAGGTCAGGCAGCTTTCGTGGCTAAAAATAAACATGACGACATTGACGGCCCTTTTTCCGTTTCCGATTTCGCTTTATCACTTATAGCTTTTAATGTTCTGATCAAATTTGAAAATATATCACTTGCTTCGTAATGATCATACAATTTTGATAATACAGTCTAATATTTCTTTAAGATAATATTCACTAATCTTGATCTGGAATCTTCAAAATTAGGCACCTTAATAGCACTGTTAGCAGGCGGAGCCGAATAAAGACCGAGTTTTGGAAAATCTGGGTAACGTCAAATTCAAAATAGTACATGACGCAGCAAAAAAGTTCGCCCGTACGATCCGAGTATACTTGATGCACAAAATCGTCGTTGAATTTCAAGTTTTCTTAATGAAAGCAATGAATTTTAATTATCAACTCATTTCAAAAGGTTTTTTAATAAGCAATTAGCAGTTAATTAAACACTCGGAAATACTCGGGCGCTATCAGATTGTCGACGAAATGAACTCGGCAAACTTCGGAAATTTTCGGAAAAAGGAGGAATTCCTCCCGTTTTAGTCACGTGACGTAAATTGTAATACAATGTATTACCGAAGGCTACCTGGACTCAGATTCATCTGGAATAGTCAGAATCTTTTGGTCTGGGAACCAATTCCAGCCTGTGAAGTCATCATACTAAAAAAATAAAGGTCTATTCCAAGTTCATTACAATAAAATGTTCATTACAATAAAAAGATGGCCTCCACTTTCCCTCGCCGTCAATCGATCCTCCCACTTTTTGATGTTACACTTAGGCCTACTACATGTACTTCGCCAAACACTTATATCCTGTCGACTGAAACTATAAAAACGGCATAGTATGGGCTATATTCACGAGTCGGCCATATAAAATTGAAAGCGAGGTAAAATTTTCATTTTTGGAACTTGCAAAGAGAAATGAAAGCAATAAAGTTAATTACAAATTAATACCAGTCTGCTCTGATGACTAATTTAAAATCTAATGTTTTAAGCCACCTTTAAAGAAGAGAAAATTGAAAGTGAGGCTATAATGCAAAAATAGTCTGGCACCATCCCATTCAACAGTTCACAATTCATAAAATGCATTCAGGGAACACGACATAAAATGGCGTCTAGTGAATAAGGTCCATAGAGCATACAGGGGAAATC